TTTTTTTTTTTTTTTTTTTTCTCTCTTGTAGGATTAGTGATAGCTGAAACACTGGCAAATATATCGTCCTCATCCAAACTTTTATACCTGCTCATATTTTTATTAACAAATTAAAGCTTTAATGAAGCAACAGCTATTGTATCTATTCTTATTCTTGGCTATAACCACTTCAACAGCTGTAGCCCAACAACAAGCAAAAAATTCACAATGTCCAGCCAATACATTCTCATGTAAAGATGGTTCCTGTATACCGTTAGACTGGGTTGGCGACGGTGAACGAGACTGTGATAATGGAGCTGACGAAAGTACCTTTGTAAAGCCGCAGCCAAAAGTTTTTGCTGCTAATGGTACCAATAAAATATTTCGTGGTGCTAAAGTTGCTGCAACACAAGAGGATACTGTTGATGATCCATTTGATCAAATTTCCACTAAAACATCGCCATCACCAACGTCAGATGAGCAGCTAAAGTTGGAAACAGATACTACTGACGTACAGCCGGACAGTGCTCTATTGGCAACTGAACGACAAGCTCAACGTACCGAATGCCCCAGTGATGTTCAGTTACGTATATCGCAGTGCTCTGAAGATTTTGTTGAATGGTCAAAAAAAATTGCAACTTCTGATTTTGTTAATAAATCTGCATTATTTGACGAAGAAAGGTAAATAATTTTACTTACTTCTTTTTTTTTTCTTCTTCTTTTATCTTCTTCTTTTTTTTTTTGTTTTTCTTTGGTGGGAGGGGGGGGGAGGGGAGAGGTTTGTAATTATAAATTTTTTAAGCACTATTTTATTGAGCAAACTGTATCAGAAGAAAAATTTGCATAATTTTCATCTTACAATAGTTACTGTATTTTTATATTTCATAATGATAATAATAGGAACAATAATAATAATAATAGGGTATTAGTTATTGGTATTACTGTTATTATAATATCATTGATATAATAATAATAATAATAATAATAATAATAATAATAATGAAAAATAATAATAATAATAATAATAATAATAATAATAATATATAATAATAATAATAATAATAATAATAATAATAATGATAGGAATTTTTTTTGGTTTAGTTGAAGTTTGTCTCCGGTTTTAACATCTTTGACAAGGAAAGAGGTTTCTAGACGACTGTGCAGAAACTGTTGTTGTATGCATTTAAATTTTTTCTGGTTTTATTTTGTTTTTTTACATTAACTATTCATTCATTTATTTCTTTTTACTTTTACATTAGTAATGACAGCAGTAGTTTTTTTTTTGCTTTTTGGCGAAAAAAAAGTTGTGGAAAAGATAGTTGTACTTCAGACAGAAAACTTTACTGTTTTTTGTTTTCTTTGTTTTGATCTTTTGTGATTACAGGAAAAAAGTTATTTTTTTTTGACAAGAAAAGAATGGTAAAAGTGTGGTTGAAAATTGGTTTTGGTTAACGATGACTGGACTCAAATTACAATTTTTTTTTTGGTAATTCTATTTTCCCTTAATTACTTGGAAAAAACTACATTTTTTTTTTATTTTATATTCTTTTTTTTTTCTTCTTTCCGTACTCTAATCAAAAAAAAAAGAAAATTTTCTTTTTTTTTTATTTTGTATTTCAAAAAAACTTTACTGAGCACTTATCTAATTTTGTTCAGAGGTAAAGGAAAAAAAAAAACAAATTTATGTTTTTTTTTTTGCTTTTTCAATGTTCTTCTTTTTTTCCTTTTTAATTGTCCTTTCTGTATAAGCGATAGTAAGAGGAGGAATAGTTAAAGAAATAGTAAATAGCATCACTTTGAGCTGTAACGATCTTTGAAGAAACTGTTCATGCAAAAAAGTCTCATGGAAAACAG